CACACACACACACACATACACACACACACACACACACACTTATAGCTTATTAACTCGGACAGTTTTGTCCCACTTTAGTGGAGCGCCACAGAGCCCAGGTATTTAGGGTAAATACACCTGTAGCTGGTTACTAGGAGGTTAGTGGAGGGGCTGGCTATTTCAAGCCACCATGACCCACTATAATAACCCAGATTCACACAGAAACAGTGCCGATGGCCAGCTTGGTCTGGCTGACGGGCGTGTGAGGATCCCTCCCGCCCCTTGCTGAGATCTCACCCTTCTCTCCCCCACATTTACCCCCCCCCCAGTTCATTCCTAGTTCAATCCATCAGCACAATCTATGCATCTGTTCATGCAAGAGCTGAGGTTTTTAAAAAAAATGTGGACGAGGCTGTGAGAGGTGTTGAGAACAGCAGGGGGGAGGATTGCCCCCGTCTCTGTAGACGCGCCGCTCACTGCCCCCCCCCCCACCACCACCCAGGATGCCAGGTGCTGCACATCTGGATGGTGATGATGTCGCACACTCTGTCCCAGCAAGAGGGCTAACCCCCCCCTGCTCTGTTCTCTGTTCCCCCTCCCAGGTGGTGGTGAAGAATGCTCACATGGCGGTGGGTTCCCTCACCATCAACGAGGAGAGGTCGGAGGTCATCGACTTCTCCGTGCCGTTCATAGAGACCGGCATCAGCGTCATGGTCTCCCGCAGCAACGGGACGGTCTCCCCCTCTGCCTTCTTGGGTTCGAGCCAGTCATCCATTTTATCCTTTTCATAAAATCGTTGAGCATCTTCTTACAGCACAGAATATATGCAGCTGCCCGAGTATTTCTGTTTGCCCCCCGCCCCCCGCTCTCCCTTTCAGAGCCCTTCAGTGCGGATGTGTGGGTGATGATGTTTGTGATGCTGCTGCTGGTGTCGGCGGTCGCTGTCTTCGTGTTCGAGTATTTCAGCCCGGTTGGGTACAACCGCTGTCTGGCAGATGGCAGAGGTGAGGGGGGGGGGCTGCTGTCAGCAGGGGGCCAAGTAGCAGACAGCTGGGGCTCACGGTGGGGGTTGGCCATGGCTCAGTGAAAGACTCCCCCGGAGGGACTCCCGGTGATGCCCATCCATCCATCCATCCTTCATGCGCTCATAAGCACACACTATGGCCAATTCAGGCACCAGCTGACCTAACCACACGTCTGTGCACTGCGGCAAGAAACCAGATTACCAGGAGATTTTGGCCTGAGCTTCTAGACCAGTGTTTCTCAAACTGGTCCTCTGGGAACAGTCAACATTTTTGCTAAACCTTGGACTGTCTGGGGGTCCCCAAGGACCGGTTTGAGAAACACTGTTATAGACTTCTATGCCTGATGTGTTTTTCCTTTTTCATTTTAGTTACACAAATTTTTCCCTTTATTTCATTAAATTCAGTCAATATGATATTATGCCCAGAGCCCATGCTCACCTTTGTTTTGTTTACGTGTCCAGTCCATGTTCGTACATTAAGTTTCCTCCAAGCATAACGTTGTTTTAAATCATCGTTTCCCAACCTGCTCCTTGGGGACCCACAGTCAGTCTGTGTTTTAGGAGCAGGGAGGGAGCAAAAATGTGGGCTGTCTGGGAGGGAGCAAAAATGTGGACCGTCTGTGGGTTCCCGAGGACTGGGTCGGGAAGCACTCTTCTAAATGAATGCTGGTTTTGAACAGACGTGCCTGTTGTGCATGTTATTAAAAGTGCTCTCTGGACAATACAGAAAGCTTAATTAGCTGGTGTGCAAACTCTTGGTTTATCTTGTGCCCTCGCGCTCCCTCCCAACCTCCAGAAGGACCCGTTCCGCTTAAACGCAGCGGGACCGCCGGAGCTCAGTGGTGGGGCACCTCAGAGTTAAAGGACGGGTCCGGGGGGGTTGGCCCTGCAGGCCATAGTTTGCTCTGCAAGTCGTCCTGCAATCCATTGTCTATCATTTGTTTCCCTGTGTGGCAATACAGGCTCCTTGTTCTGTTCTGAAGCTGATTTTGCTCAGCTTTGGCTCTGTGCCTGTGATCGGAAGGTCGCTGGTTTGAGCCTGGCCTAAGCAGAATAGCCATGCCTGTGGACCCTAAACCCCCAGCTACATGGGTGCTGCTGCAGGTGGCTGCTCTCACCTATGTATATGTCTGTGTGTCATGGAGAGCCAGATGAAAAGGGAATTTCCCCACTGGGATTAAAGCGTCATTACTGTTATTATTTTGTGTTGCATCATGGGTACTGGACCATTGTGCACCATTCTGGCCCCACAACCCCCTTGATTCAGCTGTTTCATGGTTTGGTGCCAGTGACGTAAGCTCGATGCGGTAACCACGACGCCGTGATTCAATCCTCGCTCTCCCTGCCTGACCCCCTCCCCACCCAGAGCCGGGCGGTCCGTCATTCACCATCGGCAAGGCCATCTGGCTGCTCTGGGGCCTGGTGTTCAACAACTCCGTCCCCGTTCAGAACCCCAAGGGAACCACCAGCAAGATCATGGTGTCCGTCTGGGCCTTCTTCGCCGTCATCTTCCTGGCCAGCTACACGGCCAATCTGGCTGCCTTCATGATCCAGGAAGAGTACGTGGACCAAGTGACTGGGCTCAGCGACAAAAAGGTACAGCTGTCCCTGACGGCCTTCTCCGAGTGCTTGCTACACTTTGCTGGTTACTTTGCTACACCTGTGCCTCCCCCCTGTGATTTCGCACATTTGGAACGAAGGAAGTCCGAGTCTGTTTGACTGACAGCAAAGAGATAATTAACCTAACGCCATGTTACTGAGCAGTACATGCGTGTCAGCCATCAGATGCAACATCTCCTGTCGTCATGGTGCTTCTGCTGCCTGTGTATGCCATGTGACTCCCCCCCCCCATTATCCCTAACAGCTTTCTGCAAAAGCTCTTAGGGAGGCACCATGCACGATATCTCCTTTTTAACTAACTCCCGCCCTAACCTCCCTGCACGCCCGCAGTTCCAGAGGCCGAACGACTATGCGCCGCCCTTCCGCTTCGGCACGGTCCCCAACGGCAGCACGGAGAGGAACATCCGGAACAATTACAAAGAGATGCATACCTACATGGTCAAGTTCCACCAGAAGAACGTGGACGAGGCGCTGTACAGCCTAAAGACCGGGTGAGTGGCTACAGGGACCCAGGAGGCGGGACTGAGAGCAGGGCTACGATAGGAATTGCAGGCTGCTCCTGGATATGCCTGTAGGCGCGATCCCTAGTACTGATTAGGAGGTCATCTGGTGTCCAGATATCCAGGCTGTGTGGCATCAATAGGTCACAGGCCAATTAAGAACCAAGCAGTGAAGATTATTCAGAAGCTATTCGTGTAGAGTTCTGTTGTCCGTGGTTAATTCTACACACTCCTGCCGGCTTTCCAGCAAGCTGGACGCCTTCATATACGACGCAGCCGTGCTCAACTACATGGCTGGCAGGGATGAAGGCTGTAAGCTGGTCACCATCGGCAGCGGATACATCTTCGCCACCACAGGCTACGGCATCGCGATTCAGAAGGACTCTGGTTGGAAGAGATCGGTGGACCTGGCCATCCTGCAGCTCTTCGGAGATGGTAAACCTTCCGTGACCCGGAGCCTGGGCTTCGCACCGCCGCATAAAACCTGCTTCAGGCCAGCCACAAATACACATAACGCTGATTTGACGCGTGAGTGTGCGTAGCCTCTTCCAAACGTGCTGCCCCATCACGTTCTATCTCGTTTATTACCGTCGCCGCCTGTCTGTAAGTGGCTGACGTCCTCCGGCTTGTTTGGTGGATCGATTCTGGCCAATCGCGTCACGGCTCTGATACGCGCCATCAGGGCCCCTGTCTCCCTCCGCGGGGCTGTAATACAGGCAGCAGCAGGCAGGCCGCTCCACCGGGATGGCCCGAGCCAGTGTGTAGTCTCGTTTGTTTTCTAACGTATTTTAAGCAGCAAGAGGGAAGGGCAGTTGTGGTTAATTTGGGGTGCCTCGTATTAATATGATGAGTTCAGGTCTGTCCTAGGTCCTTGTGCGCTGACAATCCAAACCAGGACACTGTAGCTGCTGGTGCCTCTAGACTGTGCATTTTGTTTGTATGCAAATGTGGGTCAGTTCAGAGTTTAAACCCACTATGTACAACGTACGGCTGTCTATATTTGGGTCATAGTTTGGTTTGATCCCAGCCCTCATTATGTACTGTATATATGTGTGTGTTGTTTCTGAAGATGTGTGTGGTCTTTGTGTGCGTGCGTGCCTTCACCTTCCCCGGCGAATGTGGGCCAGTGCAAAGTGTCTCAGCCCTTCGCCGTAAGTGATCCTCAGTCCTCCCAGAATTTCAAAGTCACTTCGACACACCCGGACGTGCACACTCTCGCCGCGGCCTACTTTTGTGACACTGCTGCGCATGCGCGCACGCCTCAAGAACGAACGGGACATGGGCAGGCAAGATGTAGGTGTTTTGGGAGTGGGGAAAGGGGCAGTCAGTAAGGGACATGGGAGGTTGGTATCACTAAAGCCCCTGCAACACAGACTGGTTAACTCTCTCGCCTGCCTTGACTAAACATATACAAAAATGTTAGTGAGATGTCAAGAGTTAATTGTCTTTTATCAGATCACTGTAACAGGTGTTTCGAATAAACTTAATCCCCATCTTCTCCATCATCTGTGTTCTTTATTTAACTTCCCATGATTTTCTTCCTCTCAACCTTGAGGGTGAGTGAGCCTCTTGAGTGAGGCTCCCTCAATAATTAACAATAATCTGCATCTCCCTTACCCCCCCCCCCCCCATCTATTCTGCCTTTGTCCTCCCTCCACCAAGGTGAAATGGAGGAACTGGAGGCGCTTTGGCTGACTGGCATCTGCCACCACGAAAAGAACGAAGTGATGAGCAGCCAGCTGGACATCGACAACATGGCAGGGGTTTTCTACATGCTGGGGGCGGCCATGGCGCTCTCACTCATCACCTTCATCTGCGAGCACCTCTTCTTTTGGCAGCTGCGCTTCTGCTTCATGGGTGTCTGCTCCGGCAAGCCCGGCATCACATACTCCATTAGCAGGGTGAGTAGGAGCAGGACCCTGGGGTGGCTGTTTTACTGCCTGTTTCCCTGTAATCTAAGAAATGGGGAAGAAAGAGCCTCACATCCCGCTGACTTAATCAACATGTGAGGAGGACCTCCAGGGTGGCTAATTCGCTGCCTGTTTTTCTTTGTTCTAAGAATGAAGGAAGAAAAAGCCTACTCCATCAGCATGACTTATATAGGCGTACCTCCAGGGTGCCTGTGTTACTTTCAGATTTCCTTTCCCAAAACAGATGGCTCTCCTTGTCACCATCTTTACGGGAAATTTCTGGTTTATTATTAAGTTTCTTCTCTTTCATCAAGTTAAAATTAACCCGACCTTGAATAAGAGTATACAGCTGCCTGAGTGTGGTTGTCATTGTACTTTAAGTAGTTTGCCTTTGCCTCCAAAGATGACGTCAGAGGTTAGACGTGGCAGGATTCAACTCGGTGTGTGGGCTTAGCAGATTGTCAGATCTCGGTTTCATTCCCGCTCTTTCTGGGCAATGAATAACCCCGCTTTAATGAGGTGTTTACATAAGTGCTCGCACCAAAGTATGCTTCTAGTCATAGTAAATATTTGCACCACACTTGGCCAAACCCAGCGTCGCACTTAGGGACAGGAATACTTGCAGAAACGGCGACGGAAATCGGTCACACTCGGTTGGTTTCTCTTTCCCTAAGCACTCCCTCATAGTCCAAGCATCTTCTTGGAGCAGACGCTGCGGTGCCGATTCTGTTGACATTTTGAACACGACTCTCAACGCTCTGCACCACCAGGCGACTTCCGCCGGGGCCACTGTGATTTACATGCATGGGAATGTGCATCTTGTACGATGAATCATTGTGACATCATGTAACAGCTCAACAGATGTCTGTAGCAGGGCCCACCTACTGCGTGCCGCTTCTTCTTCCACACCTTACGCCTCTTTGGCCTCCTCGTACACCTGGACCCGTCCCCCGGGGAGTTAATTCTGCGAGACTCTGGCCGAGTCTCTCTCCCTCTCTCTCGATGGCGTCGTCCGTTGCCGGAGGAAGGGCTGAAACGGCACATTAATACCTCCCCTGAATCAAAGCGTCCGCAGAGAGAAGCCGGAGCAGTGGAAGGGTAGCGCAGCAAAGGCAGCTCGGCAAAATATTAGACAATAACATCCCGGGGAAAACAATGTTATATTTATAAGCAGGCCAGAGATCAGTGCAGCTGAACAGCCTAAAGTGGAAAGACAGCTGGGGGGTAGGGGGGAGCATGCAGACTAGCAGTCAAAGAAGGCCTTGGATATAAACATGGAAGACGCACAATAAAAAATATGGGGGGACAGATACTCTGCCATTCCTAGGTGTCGGGAGGATGAGTGAAGAAGGACAAATTTGCTTGCCAGGACTGTGTATTGAATGGTAATATCCACCACCTTCCCCCACCCCACCCCCCCAGCATCCCCGCAAGTCAACTTTCACCTTTATTTTGTTTGCCTGGTATCGTCTTCTGAAGAACAGAGCATTTCTTTTATACATCTGTCTGTCATGCACCGTTGATTTACGTCTTGCGCTTTATCGTCCGCCGTTGAAAGCGAATGTCCTCCCGTCATTTACTCTGACAATCTCTTTGTGTCGTCTTCTCCACTCCGGTTTTGTACCGTGACATGGGCTTGATGGCTCGGTATTAAAGCCCCCATTGTTCTCATGTATCTTAATCATGTTGATTAAGTTCCAGGCAAGTCCCACCAGTCTCTCATGTTCCCCTCCCCAGTCTCTTTCTTTGCCAAGTATGCATTACTCACATATCTTTTGGATATACTTTATATATTCCAATCATCATCATCGTGTCATCGGTTGGGAATACATACATTTCCCTAGACCTTCTCCTGACCCCTCCGTGCATCCCCACCTACAGGAAATCTACAGCTGCATCCATGGTGTCCAGATCGAGGAGACCAAGTCTCCCATGAATTCACCTTCAGCTACCATGAACAACACGCATTCCAACATCATGCGGCTGCTGCGAACGGCCAAGAACATGGCCTCGCTCTCGGGGGTCAACGGCTCACCACACAGTGCGTTGGACTTCATCCGGCGCGAATCATCTGTCTACGACATCTCAGAGCATCGGCGCAGCCTGGCTGGCCACTCAGACTGCAAGCCGCCCTACCTGGCTGAGGACAACATGTTTAGCGACTACATCAGCGAGGTGGAGAGGACGTTTGGGAACCTGCAGTTGAAGGACAGCAACCTGTACCAAGACCACTATCTGCACCACTACCCGGGTTCGGGGTCCGGGCTAGCCTTGGGCATGTCCGGGCCCCCACCCAATAGACCACATAGTCTTGGGAGTGCAAGTTCATTGGAGGGTGGCATGTTTGACTGTGATAGTCTCGGGGGTGGGGTGGCCCCAATTTTCACCACTCAACCTCGACCCTCTCTGACACACAGAAACAATAATAAGTTTGACCTGATTGCTGGCCAGACCCCGTCCTCTGGTCAAGGGTTTAAGCAAGGATTAGCGGACCTTTACGGGAAATTCTCTTTCAAAGGTGCAGCCTCCAGCTCTGGGTTTATTGCGGGACAGGACCGGTACTGTGGGGGAGGATTCGGTGGGGGCGGAGATGATGGGAACATTCGGTCAGACGTGTCAGATATTTCCACACACACGGTCACCTACGGCAACCTGGAAGGGAATGCCAAGAAGCGCAAACAGTATCGGGACAGCCTGAAAAAGAGGCCTGCCTCGGCTAAATCGAGACGGGAGCTGGATGAGATCGAGCTTGGGTACAGGAGGCGGCCCCACCACTCTGCACACCACCACTACCATGGGTCCGAAGCCCACCGCTCGGCCTCCCCACCCCTGTTTCCATTGGACCGGAAGTCCCAAAGAGGGACAGGAGGTACTGGTGGTAACTGCTCTTCATATATGTTCCGTGACAAAGAGGGCTTAAGGGACTTCTACTTGGACCAATTTCGGCCAAAGGAAGGGGTGCCTCAATGGGAGCATGTGGATTTGACTGATGGTCCTGGAGGTGGTGGAGGAGGCCTGGTGAGTGGAGCAGGTGGGTGTGGTGCTGGTGGTGTGGCCGGAGCGGGGGGTAACTGTACCAGTCTGGTGCCGGTGGACGACTTCATGAAAGGCAAAGGCAAGAAGCCAGACTGTAAGAGTGGCGTGGTGGGCGGAGTGAACGCAGGTGCCTCTGGTCCACAGACTGTCCCAGGGGTCACCAGCGGAGGACTGGCTGGGGGGGATTGGGAGTGCCGAAACTGCCGTGCAGGTGCAGGCGTCAAGCAGATGTCCCTGCATGGCAGTGGAGTAAGTGGGGGCGGAGTGTATTCAGGAGGACCTGGAGTAGGCAGCTGCGGAACCTCAGTGGGCGGAGTAGTGGGTGGTAACAGTCGTCCCAGTTCAGCCACCTGCATGCGGTGTGAAGCCTGCAAGAAGACAAGCAACTTGTATGACATCAGTGAGGACAACAACCACCTTTTGGAACAACTTGGTGGAGGAATGGGAGGCGTTGGAGCTGGGGGGGTACAGTCACAGACCCAGGCCCAGCGGAGGAAATCTGGGCTGGGTGGCAAGGCTTTGCGACGGCAACACTCATATGACACCTTTGTAGACCTGCAGAAAGAGGAGGCTGGCGGAGTTGGGGTCATGGGGGGAGTGGGCATGGGGGGTATGGGAGCTGGAGGCGCGGGGGGGATGATGCCCCCACCCAGGAGTGTGAGCCTGAAAGACAAAGATCGCTTCGCGGAGGGCGGGAGTCCATATGCCCACATGTTTGAACGACACGGAGGATCGGAAAGAGACCATGACAGAGATCCACTCTTCTTTGGTGGGGAGAGGGCAAAGGGGGGCTCCCCCTTTGGGCTGTTCCGAGGGGGTGAGGGAGGCCTGCATCGTCGATCAGTGGGGGAGAGAGACAGCAGGGATAGGGAGAGGGAGATGATGGGAGGTGGAGGAGGTGGTGGAGGGGCGTATTCCTTGTCTCAATCCCTCTACCCTGACAAGGTGAACCAAAATCCCTTTATCCCTACCTTTGGGGATGACCAGTGCCTCCTTCATGGAGCCAAATCGTACTACATAAAGAAGCAGCAGCAGCAACAGCAGCAGCAGCAGCAGCTCATGAAGGGTAGCCGGAGTGACTTCAGGGGCTCTATGGGCGTGACTTCCTTCCTGCCCGCGTCTGCCACAGCCGGGGTAATGGCCAACGTGGCCCCAAGGTTCCCCAAGGAGCTGTGCCTTGGTGGGGTAGGTGGCGGCCTGGGGAACCACCTCGGGGGCCCCAGCAACAACAAGCTACTGCCGTCACGGGACGGGCTGGGCTTGGGCCAGGTACAGAGGTCCTTCAACACCTCCAGCAATGGGCACGTGTATGAGAAGCTGTCCAGCATAGAGTCTGATGTGTGAGGGGCTGGGGTGGGGGGACGGGGTGTTTTGGCGTGGCGGGAGCTGGGCTTGAAGGGGCGAGGATAGCCACATGGTAACCATAACCGTCAAAAAAGCAGAGGAGTGAGAATCATGGGGTGGGGGAAGGGAGCAGGATAGAGTGAATGTGAAGAAAAGCAGGAAAATGAGAGGAGAGAGCAGTCTGTTGCATAGGGGCCAGGATGTCTTACCTTCCAACGTGGGATCAGCTGAATGAGAGAAAAACTGGAACATGGACGGCTGTGATTTCAGTCTGCCTCCAGCGCGGCTCGGCGTCCGCTTCCCGTCATGACAGAAGAGTCTCAAGTGTAGCCATCCAGGAGAACGACAATGAAAAAGGGCTGTATGAACAACACAGAAACGGGGGCTTCAGTGTCATACCGCTGAATTCAAAGCCAGACAGCAGATAAATCAAGGGGGGGCACATGATCAAAATGGTTTCTCAGGCAGAAGTTAACAGCTCTGGAGAAATTTGTTTAATCCGCATATCCATCCATAGCTCTCTTTTTCCTTTACACCAAAACAAATGTCATTGGTCCTTGTTATAAAAATTACAATCATTAATGGAAATAATTCTTACTAATTCATGCTGAAGCGACAGGGTAAAAGCAACATTAATGCTAATTGTGAATAATGACGATAGTACTGATGTTCATAATAATGCTTAAGGTTGATTTTGAATACTTTACGCTGTTTAGTATTTGTTGCTGTTTATTAGCTGACTACTGCAGGAAGCTCGTTGTCTAATTAAATGAACAAACCGGAAGAGAGAGAAAGCTATTAAGTTTTCTGCTTTGTTTTTATGATATCCGTGCTCATCTCTTTGAAGTTTTCGAACAGTGTGAGGTGAAAGATTTGCACAGTGCAAATAGTACATGGAGGCTATGGTTGGGACATTCCTTTTCTGGCATTCCGACATATATTCCGACATATCTGTGAAATGCTTAATTAAAGGGGTGTCTTGCTAAAGGATTTTTGAGTAGGATGTGCCTTATGGTGTCAAAGAGTTGAAGAACTGAGTGGCATGATGATCATTGTAATTGTGAAACATCTTGTCTGAGAATATTTGGCTGAATGGGTTTGCAGTATTCCATGCGTGCCATAGGTTTACGGTATTTTTTGGTTGTATGTGCCATAGGTTTGCAATATTCTATGGTATATGTTGTGGGTTTGCAGCAATCTATGGTATATTCTGTGGCTTTGTGGTGTTCTATGGTATATACCTTAGGTTTGCAGAATTCTGTGTTATATGGCATAAGTTAGCAGTATTCTATGGTAGGGGCTCCCAACCTTTTGGTGTCAGTGGAGCGGTTTACGTTTTACAAAAACATCATGGGCTGGTAAAATGCCAGGGGGCAGGGGGTGATTGTGGGTGGATCAGTCACTGATTTTATAAGTTGGACAGTTTCCTTTTATTTCAGATGTGAACAGAACATGTGAAGGTGAGGGGTCATTAAAAAAATTAAAGTATATAATTTATTTTTGGAAATTTAACTAACCTCTCTACAAAACCCCCAGATTTCCATGGAGGGATGGAATACTGGCAATGGACCAGTTTTGTTAGGTTGGGAGCCCCTATCCTATGGTATATTCCATAGGTTTACAGTATTCTATGGTATATTCCATAGGTTTGCAGTATTCTATGGTATATGCCATAGGTTTGCAGTATTCTATGGTATATGCCATAGGTTTGCAGTATTCTACTTTTCATGCTGTAGGTTTGCAGTATTCTATGGTATATGCTCCATATATATTGCAGTACAGCACAGACTGCTATTTGAGAAACACCAGCTGTGTGGATAAGAAAGATAGAACCCTTAAAGCAGACTGACTCACACGTCTTAAAACATTATACTTTCCTTTAGATTCATAAAGCCTGGCTGTTTACACAAGCTCTTCTGGCTAAGTGTGTCACCCAAGGGTACAACTGCAGTATCCGTGCTGGAATTACATCCCAGAACTTTCTGGTCACATGTTAAAGTCAGAGCAGGTCATACAGTGTTGTGGAAGTTACTGAAAATGAACACGCTGATGTTTAGAGGAAAGTTCTTTTCTGCATCACGTGGTTGAAAATGGTAGATGAGAGTATTGAAAATTAACATACCTGAAGTGTCAGGTAGTTTAAATATAAATATACTGATAAATAGATTTCAGAGTGAACAGAGCATATATTATCTGTTGGTTAAATATGAAATGTGTCCTCAAGGCGTGTCTGAATTTTAAGGGCTGCAGGAGGAAGAGTTAAAGGGCTGAATGGAAAATAAAAACGCGAAAAGGATGTTTTGTTGAAAGACTGTGTGACCAAGACAATTTCCAGGTTGAGGGTGATCTGCAATGCTCATTAACACCATTACATTGGGAGCCGATGGAAGATGGCTAGTTGATTAGTATTATTTATATAAACCTACTGACAGAAGAACCGATTATTTCACTTTTCCTCCCGTCTCTAAATAGCTCTATAAATATCTTTTGCATTTTGTATAAAGTCTTTTAAACACTTTTCCGAAAGGATGAAGTTTTGGAAAGGAATAAAGGAAGGTTGTTAGAATTGGTGGGCGTCAGCTAAAGTATGTTAATTTTTTTTTTCACTGTAAATACATTTAAAAAGACTCTCTTCATGCTGTACAGTTAGATGACAGCCAGGATGTAAGATGTATGTTTTAAGAAATGAAGCAGAAAAAAAATTAAAAATCATAAAAATGGAAAAGAAAAATATGCAAATGACATAAAAATATTTACAATTATGGAAATAAGTTACTATTTTGTTTTTAAATATCATGCTTATTACTTAATTGTTCATTACTGTTGTTATTATTTTAAGAATATACTTTTGAGAATTTTAAGAATATACTTTTATCAAGGTATTGAAAACAGGATGTAATAAATATAGAAGTTCAGTGTGAAAAGAAAAAATGTAGTTTAGGGGTAACTGCAGAAATTCCCTCATTTTAGTGTCATTAATGCATTAGGAACACATTCATTGAAAGCATATTACGTCTATACATGCATGTAATATAGTATTATGTGTATGTATGGAGACTCCTGAAGTGTCGTAATCCTTCATGTATACAGTAATTCTTCATTTTAAATAGCACTATAGTTGTGGGAAACTACCGTAATTACAGGCATTGGCTGCTGAGCCGATTTTGATAATGACTCAAAGTAAAAACTGGCTCAATGTCTGCAACTGAAGGTACCAGCGAGTTCTCTAAATACGAAGTTGGATACTCTGCAATAGCATACAGTATAGTTAACCTTTTCCTATTGGTTACAGATACACTTTTGACAGCCGTCTAAAACTACGGTGCGCAAAATTGGTTTATTACATGCATTAGGATACAAATTTGTCCGTTTTTTTATTATTAATGCGAAGTAAAAATATGTTTTTGCAAACATCACAAAACATTCAAATGTCAGACATATCTATATATAGTATATAATAATGTAGTTAAATTAACACACACGTGGATATATTGCCATATATAAAACTGATTTTTTTTTTACAGGAACCATTTGCTGACCATATATAAAAGAAATGTCATTTATAAGCTATATATACTGAGGAAGTTATATTGATTTTATTTTATAGATTCTCTGTCATTCACGTCGACATTAAAATGAGGATTATTGGTGTGTTTGTTGTCAGGATTTCTATTATAGCCCGCCGTCCCGTTTTTTTAAATCTATTTTCCGTCTTGGAGGAATATGGAGGGAACTTGGAAAGGGCGACAACATCGACTTGAAACATTTTAGACAAATGTATTGGTAGCTGGTCTGTTAAGATGTATTCATGTCTACTGGGTGTCTGCGTGCTGAAAATTGGGGTGGTAACTGCACAGGCTATGAGCTTTTATCGATGAAAAGTTTGTTTTTGTTACCCGACTTGATTAATTGATAGCTATTCATTTGCAATAAACCACATGGCCTCTTAGAGCAATTCATTCTGAACAGTTTCTATCCATTAATCTCAAGCTAACTAATTCCTGCTGGTAGGATCGAAAAGTGTGATTGGGATTGATAGTGGTGCCCCAGAAATATACGTCTTTAGTACATTACTGGCCAACATATTTTAGAACTTCTTTTAATTTCTGAGAAATTGCTTTGACAATATGCTCGTGATTCGGGTGTAATTACTTTAACAATTGCGCCATCTACAAAGTGCAGCTAAACATTCATAATCGATATCTATATTCACTCTGTCTGGAATGACCAGGCTTGTAAGTGGTCCAAATTAAGCGACCGCTTCTCCTTCAATGACGTCAGCGGAGTACAAAGCATCAACTACAGGTTCGGCTGGAAGCTGGGTGGGCGCAGGCATAAATAAAGGATGAAGCCGTGTGGCGGGCCTATACTCAGTGGGAACTTGCCGAAATGTCTGCTGTTAAAAATAGCAGTAGCCTATTACATATAGGTACACCTACAGATGTTACCCAGGAATTATGTGAAACCAACACCATATACGGAGTATGTGCATTTACAGTTTCAGATATTTATATAAAAATTTTTCATAGTAATGACGATTTATAACAATAACGGTCCTGTTAATATTAACCATAATAGCCGTGTACATTGTAGTGATTTGTTCTGTTGTTAAATTTTAAGCCTATTGAAATTTATTTGCCCTCATTTGGGGTGAATTAGATTTTGAATATATCAATCAAAACGGCAGTGATAGGGACGGTTAAAAACATAGTCACAGGATGTAGAATAGACCTACACGACGTTGTCTTTTTCTTCTTTTTAATTTTCTATGAAAACGCCCGCCATTCACGTGAGCGGTGTACGGGTGAGCGCTGCTTTACTCGTCCTCAGATGTACATGTGCTGTCCGCGTTCCGCCGCCCCCCTTCGTTATTACGGTTGATGCTCTTGGTGTGCGCGCGCGGTCGCTCGTGCCAGATTAGACGTCCGCGAAAAGTGCGTGTGTGTGAACAAGGCTGTGAGTATACGCTTTGCCCCGATTCTTTCTGTAAATAATAATTTCCATTACAGTTCGTGTCCTGATGTCTTTGCATAATAAAAAAAAATCAAAAATGTGTTTTTTAACAAAAGTCATTTTAAAAAGGTAACATTTTGGGATTTAGGGTTGACTGGAAGAGTATTTTCTAAAAAAGGAAAAATAACACGAAAAATGGATGGTGAGTTTTCAGAGAGCGCAATCGCTGGTGGTCTAAAAATATCTGCCCACTGAATATGACCAATTAACCATTGGGCCTTTCTCTGTACAGTATATGCTCCTTCCTTAATCACGCCTGTCACTGGCAGAGGCACGTGACAGGATCATGTACTCTCCACTTAATACTTTTTATTCAGTCTATTTTTTGTTCTTTATTTGGTCGTCCCTTCAAAATGTTACCAAAATTTTCACAACGTAAAATGAAAACCGATTAAAAAATTAATAACTGTACAGATTGTGTAAATATGAATATGGGAAAATTACATTTATTCCTTCATTTTTTGTATTGAAGTAAATAAACCACAATAATAAATTAACTAATTAATTGCAAAAAAGCAAAATGTATTCAGAATGGTACTTATAATATCGACAATACTGACATGTACGACAATAAGTGCTAAAATATGATTCTTCTGTCTCTTTGTACAAAATAAACAAATTAAAAGTGTTGAGTATTAAAAAATACATTTTGGTGTTTTTGTTGGTCCCCGTTCGCTTCTTTTATTACCTTTCACTTTTGTCAATACTCTACCTATTGGAAAAACCCCTTCCTCTGTCTTGTATTATAGGCCTAATGATGTATTTAAAATGTGAAGAGATTATTTTGCACATTTTTGTGTATTTCAAATGCTTAAATCATTTTACTAGGCCTATCTTTTTAGTTTTGAGATTTATTCTGTTATAATTGTGTCCAAATATGACTCACCCGTATTCAGACACTTAATTCACATGACAAACACATTTGTGTTGCCAGTTTGAGCATGGCAAAAAACAAAATGGCAAAATCAAACAATACATGGTAATTAAGATGAGTACCAAAAAATAATGCACTGACAGACTACAATGAAAAAAACAAGGATTAGAAACCACAACCAATGATGGGTCAGTCTTTGATGGATCTAACGATGTACATGAGAAGTTGATGTGAAATTCAATATAAAATCCCAGAGATTTAACATTGTGCTTCTGTGTCAATGTGGGGAGAATGAAAAAACAGTCAACAGCACTTTTGTGCCAAGTACTGTCCTTTGGGGTGGGGCTAGTGGATGATCACCTGACCAGGGTGACGACCCAGTATTTCGTGACGTCTTTGGTGTTGACGCAGCATTCAGTGTCCGTGTGTCACTGAGCGCTGCGTGGAGCACCGGGGCCAGATGTGACCCTTATCTGTGACCAGGTGGGCTACGGTGGTTCAGAGCTGTGTGCGTAGCAGACAGTCTTGCGATCATGCAGAACTGCCCTCCGACGGCAGAGCTATCTTGCACAAGCCTTGCGTATTTCTCTATAATTTTCCCCTTTCACATCATGCCTCACTACGCCCGATAGTCGGTGCGGGGTTAGGGGCCGTTTGGCGTTTGCACGGCACCTCGCTGATACCGAGGTACGATGGGTCGCCGGAGCCCAGCCACAGTGTCAAGGTGACGAGAAAACAGGTGGACAATAATTTAACCCACCCTGCCTCATGGCCTTCACTCTCCTTCCCAAGGTGCACTTGTATAATGTGTCAGCATGAATTACTGTGAAGCAGGAAGGCAGGGGAGGTCATGTGACTCAGGAGGCAAGGAATTATTTATGGGCACGAGGGATGAGCCATAGGTGTGAGACTGAAGCATGACGAGAGCAGGAAATAAGGCAAAGGAGGGGAAATCAGCATCTTAGTTTTGTTGTTCATCATGCAAACAACCATATCTATTTATTTTATTCCCATTTTTTTGTCCCCTAGATCAACTGATGCTTCAACGAAAAATCTCTTCCCCCCCCCTTGTATTCCCTTTTATTATGCTGTCTTTTCTCTCCTTCAGCCACCCTTCCTACATCACTCACCCCCACAGTCCAAAGATCCATCGCAACACACACTTTTTGACAATTAGCTGTTACTTAGCAACAGAATGTTTGAGAGGGGAAAATGCAGAATAGAGCAATGCAAACCAGCCGGCGTTTCTCGAGAAAATGCACTTGACATCTTTAGGCGCACGGGCTTCGATGAACGGTACGCTCTTATAGCGATGGCAAAAAACAAAACGGTAGTAAGAATATGGTCTTTAATCGTGAAACTAGGTGTTAGTTCTTGGGAAACAATGGTGTGGTAGCATCATAATGCAGTGTGTTATGCCAAAAATGTCAATCTCTGACTCCTTGGGGGGGGGGGGGGTGTAATTACGGTATTTTTGGCAAGCTCAGCTCCCTCTAGCTCACTCCTACATAAGCATATATATAAATAAAATGTACTGAAAATTTCAATGAAAATCACCTACGATGTTTGTGATACGTAATGACAAAAAATGGCTATAAGGAAAATAGATTTAAGAAAAAAGGTGTTATGTAACATTTAAAGAGACGATAGATATGAATGAGAAAACAGATGACTGGATGACTGGAGAGGAAACAGGAAAGAAGTGAGAGGTGAATAGGCTGTGATATGCGCTTAACTGGATTTATCACGGTTATGGAGTTAATAGGGTAAAGACCAGCATGTAAACGAAAAAGCCTTAAGGTGAAGGAGAGAAGGTCAAAAAGAGAAGAGGTGGAGAGAAAGGAAGAGGAAGAGAATGATACAGTTACCATGGCAACCGGGCCTAGTTTTTTTTTATTAATATAATTATGGTTGTGAAGCGTACAGGATAACTGTTAAAATTTGTAAGTAACATATTTGTTTTGGGATGATGTATGTTCTTCTTCTCACGAAGAAAAAAAAATCTCAATGGGAATCAGTGCGATATTCATATTGACATAACTGATTCAGACAAGCAGCAAAACCATGTTTGCCTTCTCACCATTTTATGAAAATAATCTTATTTTCTAGCTCTTCCTGCAGTATAAGATTCATTCACACTGTTACGGACAGAGTACCCAGAAAACCTAGGATTTCTGTACCCTGTGATGGTGAGAATGCAGGTTTTACAGTGACTTTCTCTCCTCCTCTTCATCACTCCGCCCCTCACAGAGGGTGTCGCCCACAAAGGGGCTTGCTGATCAATACCTGCTCCCTCTAGGTCTACATATCTGAGAGTGGAAGGAGAAAATCTATGGAACCCAGTTTCCACTGAGAGTGTTTGCTCTATGAACATTTGTTTCCTGTGCTGTGGGATTTTTCTTTTTTTGAGCGCTACACTGTCTGTTCAAAGTGGCACATGTTTCCAGTGTTACTGCAGTGGACACCCTCTTGGGAGCGATACGCTGATCTGCAAGAACCGCAACTGGATCTACTGACACCAGGTGGTCAATATTAAATATTACAACCACAATCTTTTTGACTGAATGATACATTTAATTACAAAACATACATTTACCATCCTGCCCTTGGCATAGATCTTCTTAAAAATAGCTTTCATAATTAATGTATAATCAGTATACATTTCAGAATCCTTCTTCCATAATCCATTCTTTCTCTTATTCAGTAGACCACTCAATTCTATGTCTCTCTCATACATATTTTTACCCCTCATAAGATCATAGTTCACTCACTTGATCTATCAATTCTGTTCTGCACTAAATCGAGAGGTACTTATCTAGACCAGTGATCTTAATGCCATCCCTTCCTCGTTCCCTCTATTTTGCTATAACCGTGTTTCCAAAAAAGTTGGAATGATGTGTAAAATGTAAATAAAAACAGAATGTAATGATTTGCAAGTCATTTAAACCCATGTTTATTTGAAAAGAGAGCAAAGACAACATATCAAATGGTGAAACTGAGAAATGTTATTGTTTTATGATAAATATATGCTCAATTTGAATTTGATGCCAACAACACGTTTCAAAAAAGTCATTACAGGGGCAACAAAAGACTGGAGAACTTGTGTAATGGTGATTAAGTTATTTGGCAACAGGTCAGTAAGAAGATTGAGTATGAAAAGATACTGTCTGTAAACACAGTTCGTCGGTGGATCTGCAAATGCAGGATGAAACTCTACCATGCAAAGAAGAAACCATATCTAAACGTGATCCAGAGACGTCGCTGACTTCTCTGGGCCTGAGCTCTTCTAAGATGGACTGAGGCAAAATGGAAAACTGTCCTGGGGTCTGATGAATCAAAATTTCAAATTCTTTTTAGAAATCATTGACACTGCATCCTGCTGGCTAAAGAGCAGAGGGACCATCCAGCTTGTTACCAGAGAGCAGTTGAAAAGCCAGCATCCGTCATGGCTTGGGGGTGCATTAGTGCCCATGGCTTGGGTAGCTTGCACATGTCGGAAGGCCCTATTAATGCTGAAGGATATATACAGGTTTTGGAGCAACATATGCTGCCATCCAGACAACGTCTTTGTTAGAGAAGGCCGTGTATGTTTCAATAAGACAATGTGAAACCGCATTCTGCGCGTGTTACAACAGCATGGCTTCGTAGTAGAAGAGTCCAGGTGCTAGACTGGCCTGCCTGCAGTCCAGACCTATCACCCGTTGAAAACATTTGGTACATCATCAAAGGAAAAATACGACAAAGGAGACCCGAAACTGTTGTGCAGTTGAAATCCTATATAGGGCAGGAATGAGATAACATTTCACTTTCAAAACTCCTGCAACTGGTCACTTCAGTTCCCAAATGTTTACAGAGTGCTGTTAAATGAAAAGGTGATGCAACACTATAGTCAACATGCCCCTGTCCCAACTTTTTTGAAACATTTTCTGGCGTGAAATTCAAATAGAGCATACATTTGCCATATAACAATAAAGTTTCTGTTTTCCACATTTGATATTTTGCATTGGTTATTTTTTCAACTAAATATGGGTTTATATGATTTGTAAATCATTCCATTCTGTTTTTATTTACATTTTACACAGTGTCCCAACTTTTTTGGAAATGGGGTTGTACTTTGTGTTGGTGGGGAAGTGGGATTCTGAGGTTGCTAGGAGATGGGTGTGTTCTGTGATGCACTCTTCTCACAGAGGGTGCAGAGAAAATTTCCTGGCAGGAGCAAAGCTGCAGCAATTCTGTGCACATAATACATTTCACTGTCCATTTACTGTATATATAGGGTGGACTTCAGTATATTGTTTAGACTGAGGTGGAACTGATATTTGTTTACTGTTTTTCAATTGCCACACTTTGGTGGAGGTCATCTTCTCGCTGAAGGTTGGTTTCAGGATCACCTCATCTCCAATGAACAAACAGTATGGCACCAAACCAAGTCCAATAATGTCTTTGCACCCCTAGGTAAAAATGGTTTCACTTGCATTCTGATGTTTTGTGTGATAACCGTCTGATAGCATACCTGGTCACCAGGGCCCTTGAATGGACCTCTAAACCGCCAAAAGGGCAACAGTTGCAGACAGGAAAATATCTTTGATAAACACACATGTCTGTGTGCCAAATAATTTGTGATTGATGGAAAGCATTGGAATATCTATGAAAGAACAGGGTGAAGAACATACATAAACCAGCATCTGGTTCCAAAACTGCTCATCCACTAATGGGTGCAGTGATACTGATCTTATCCCAACAATAAAAGAGCATATGCTGGTGTGCACTGTACACTGAAGACAGAAGATTAACACACACCAAAGTAAGGACTGGATAACTTTGGACTATAGGGAAACCACTCCAAACCCTGGAGAAAATGCACAAAATCGTGAAATTACCATTTAATCTGCATATACACCAGAAATCAGGACCAATTTCACACTAACCATGATAGCAATGGGCAACGTGCGCCAAAATGGATGAAACATAAACAAAATAGCTAATTTAGTAAATGATTGGAATGTGTTCCAATGGATAATCATTAATGTATTGCATAATACATTATGTATTGTCAATGTATTGATAATCATTAATGTATTACATGCATTGAAACATTGTGAAATTAACCATTAAGCGATTCCCCAGCTATCCACTGCTAGGTTTTTAATTTAAGCAGCAGGACACCTTTTGCTTGTCCAGTGTTAATCTGACCTCTCGTGTTCATATTTAGAATTACATGCTGTGGAAATATTACAGGCAGTACTGTAAAATACCTCAGAAATAGAACTAATTTTTTTCGCAGGGCTATTTTCAAAAAATTATAAAATAAAATGTCAAAGATGTTATGGAGCAATCGCATTCGTCAACCTCTAATCATGAAAAGGCGGCGGAAAGCTTGTCAAAATGTCAGCGATATAAACTTTTGTACGAAAGTTTAGAGTTTTTACGGTAATCATAGGTATATAGTCCCTGAGATGGATGGCTGGTTCCTGAAGACAGACGAGATTTAGACCATTCCTAGGCAACCAGACATGAAAAAGACTGTAATGAGCAGAAAACAAGTTACAGTAAATGTCACGCACGAAGGAATCTCAACATTTTAACATTTTAAAACACTGTCTCGTTCTAATTTTATATATAGGGTTTTACTAATAGAAACTCAAAAGTATAACACCATGAATGTATAAATATATGTGCAGTTAAGTTATCTACTGAGGCTTTTGTGTGGTCGCCATGGCAACAGTGATGAAAATAGACGTGAATCTGTATAGAAATGACTGAACAGTTTAAGAGACAGAAAGGATTCGAGCGCTGACAGGCCAACTAAGCACAGGAATGAAGAAATTTATCAAGGGCACTGATAGACAATATATCGACAAGGTTAAGCAGTACAAGTTCATAATTACGGACAATGCGAGACACTGCATCCGCGGCCTTAGTGTAAGTGTGGTAATACTGTGCAAATGCTAGCTAGACTACGAATGAAAACCCAAGGATGACCGTTGTTGGTAAGGTAGACTCAAAGGGTGGAATAAGCATGGGTGACTAATTTAATTTTTATTGCGGTATTTATTTGTAAAGCAGACTCGCTGTAGTTGCAATCCAGTCTCTCAGAATCAACAGCATGACAATTGTGTATGCTAGCGTTCAAGGCTTCGTCAATAAAGTGCAGTTGTTGACTATTACTGATACATAATCATGCATAAGAAAATATTTTTCATTTCAGTATTTCTCTGATTAAGTTGTTACACAAATAGTTCCCCTATTAAACAATTAAGTCGTTTTTCAGTTTCAGCTAGAGGTTAATAATTAGGAAAGACCCAGATTTGGAAAACACCAAGTCATTGTTATTGAAGCTCTTTCAGCATAAGTTAAGATCAAAAGTTGTTTACAGACATTCTGGAAGAGATTTCCAACGCCAAATTGTTTGTCAGTTAAACCTGTAAGATAACATTTTATTTGAATATCTTGAATGTGCCTGTTTTGAATGATCGAGTTGCACCCTGAGTACATGTTGGTTCAGATGTTACCACGGTAGTGTTGCCTTCTTAAGGGAAAGGGGAGTTCATGCCAGACCAATTTGCAATAAGTTTATATACTGTCCTCTCTATATATACACGATGACTCTGCTTCCCCATTGCTAAACGTATATACAAGAACAATATGCGTTTATCTTTGAAGGATTGTTGAAAGTAATAGAGTAAAGAGATGAAACATGGTCTGAATTAAAATAAGGCTAAAATAGGCGAAGAGTGCTGAATATTCATTATAAAAGATTGCCTACATTTTTATGGTTTTAGCAGTTCGCAACGGTTAGCAATTTTTTTTTTTTTTTTTGAAAAAGCAGAAAAGCAGTGATGGGGAAGGGGATTTGATGGAGAGAGATGTAGGAGGTAGGAAGGGAGGGGGTGTGTGCAATTCAAAGGCGGTCTTTCAGTTAAAATCTCAGAACGAATGTAGATAGCTATGTTAACTAATGTGTTCTGGGGTGTAGCTGTGTAAATAACACACGTCTGTAATAGGTATTTGTCGACATTTTTATCGAGAGGTTAGCTGCTGCAATAGCGAAGCGCTTAGTTTTAGCTTAGGTGGCTTTACCTAAGAGACGGTGTGTGAGGGAAAGAACAAGAGGGAGAACCAGGGGAGGGGACGGAGGGTGTACAGGCTGCTTACGGGACGCACAGGCACTCTGATTGTGCTGCCATAATTTAAGTGGCGGGGACCAAAAAATATTTTGGATTTTAAAAGGCCCAGGAATTGTGTATATGTGACGCCCCCCAACTCCACCGCGACTGGCCGGGGTTGTCAAGACGAGAGAGGGAGAAGGGAAAGCGGCGGAGCGGTCTACCCAAGCCCGGGGTTTCGTCCTTTTGCAGAGGAATTCAAAAAAGACAAATTACTCTCTCCACTGGGCCCTCTGCGTTACCAGGTAGGCAATGAAATTAAGCATTGGGCGTATGTTATTATTCTAGCTTTGAAATAATCCATAATGCTGGCACATTAGGTAAGGGTGATTATGCCATAGCTTGCTCTCAAGTTAGCTCGTTTGGTTTTATATATACATAAATCATAGCGTATAAATAAAAACCGAATATGTGAACAGCTTATTTCTTATAATGAGGCATGCAGTTGGCAAGAATAGATGGAAAGATATGTAATCGGTAATGCATTGCTGGCCGCGGTAATGTGGAGCGCGGTGTACCGTAGCTAGCTAGCGCAATTAGCGGCTAAATCTCAGCACTGGCGGCGCGAGCGTCCAGCTAAATACGCCAGAGAACGTGCCGACACTCAGCGCCCGGGAAAAGCGCACGGGCGCAGCGCACGAGCGCCGAGTTCCGCAAAACTGCCGCCTTTCCCAACGCCGTCTGCCCACTAACATATTTTTTTCCCAGAACAGTCGTGCATAACCGTCGTGTTTATCGCACATAATTTCCCGCATCGGTAAGCGAGAGCTGTCATTTCTGTGCAGTTTACTTGGTTTGTGATTGGTCAGACTGTAAACGAAGGCTACACAGCTGACTGCAACCTCTGCCTACAAAATAACGTTTCCAGGGACCAACACCGCCCAACTCGGACCTGTACTGGCGTGACCCTGTCCTGTAACTGACAGTCCTCTATTGATACCTATTGTGCTGAGCCTTACAAGATTCAATACGATCTCTGCTGTTATACATTAGCCTCGGCTTACAATGCCGCTGTCCGGTATGCGGAGCCGTCAGACATGGTGAATTGTGGTGCACGTACCATAAAACACAGATGCTACTATATTGTTATATGTTTTTGTCAGTTATTGTACAGGTCTTCAGAGAACACTGCCCTCACCTAGTGCTCAACTAACCCTTTCATTGTTGTATAGGACATTGAAGAGTCTTAGTGCTGTAATGTTTTGCACGATTAGTTACAGTTGTGTTTACATCGGGTACCATTATACACTGCAGAGTAATGCAGACCTTTTTGATTTATATATGTAATACATTCATTAATTTAGGTTTATATATATATGTATATATATTTAATTTCAATGGTCTGAGTTACAAGTAGCCTGTACACTATGTACCAGATAAGTAATGGTAAATTAATTGTAAATCTATCTAGATTGTGCTGAATAATCTGTGTTGATTTTAAGATGTTCATTTTTGTTTGTTGAACAGAAGCAGTTATGTTAACCCCAATAATTTAAGGCCGATAAAATATGTACTCTCCATGTCACACTGCAAATTGAGGCTGAATAGTTGCTTAACGTTTTGTCGTATTACCATATAATAAGAACCCATATGATCCAAAAGACATTCACTACATTGAACGCATTATGATCATGGAGGCTTTTCAGTTATATTTGTGAAGTCACAGACTTCATGTCAATAAATCATCTGCACAATTAAAGGATTGTAATTGTAAGAATTTAAACCATTGTGTCAGTATGTATTTCCCCCTTTTTATCATTTGGGGATGTATAATTCAGCAATTTATGTGAATGTTATACTGTAATGTATTTTGTTTTATTCCACCTATTCATCTAAACTAAAATGAATTGCAAGATCAAATGGACTTTGATGAAATTTACTGCCTTTGGACACTAACAGGAAACAAACAAGTAATGGTGTGTTAGTATAAGAGAGTGAATTTTATTTATTTATAAACCCAAAAGTGTTATTGGAGCAATTCATTTAAATACCTTATTTGAAGCTGCTGCAGGTTCTCTCCCAGCAGCTGAGCAGGTGGCTTTCATGTTGCAATATTGCATCCTTAACCACTGTTCTTTATGTTGCTTAATTATATATATATATATATATATATATATATATATATATATATATATATATATATATATATATATATAT